AATAGTCCTCCTATAGGTTTTATCAGACTTTCCCTCTTGCCCCGTAGGATCCGTCTGCTATCTCCCTGGTTCAAGTTTTTCACTCGACTCCTGTCACCATATCTGTGCTACTTGAGGCGTTATTACCCATCCTCTGCATCTTGATGACTAATTCGAGGCTAAAGCCCCTGAGTAAGTTTCATGGTCAAGTCTTTGCAACATGGACCACATCTCTGGTAAAACCTACTGTTAGCCAACTAAATCCATTTCTTCCGCGCCTATTCTGTTTCTATCCCTAATACCAAGTCTATGACTTGCTACGCTCTAGTCTCTTGTGTTCCTACCCCAAAACGTTGTGTTTTAATATTGAACCTAATCAAAGCAAGCACTATCGCAACATTTTTGGGTTGGCACACAAGAGACTAGGTTATAGGAAGTGATAGAATTTGTATTAGGGATAAAAACAGGATAGACGCGGCGGAGACTGGAGCTATTTGGCTGACAGAATACCTGTTTCACCATTTACGTGGCCCATCTAGTAAAGGCTTGACCATGGACTTACTCACAGACTTTAGCCTAAAATTAGTCACCCAGACGCAGAGGATGGGTATTAACGTCTCGAGTAGCACAGATAGGGTGGCAGGGGTTGAGAAAAATACTTGAACCAGGGAGATAGCAGACGGATCCTACGGGGAAAGAGGGCGACTCTGATATGACCTAGGGAAGAAGGACGTCATAACAATATGGCAGACTGATCAACATTCCCTACACAAGGGTGAAGGAGGGTGATAACGCCAGCGTGGAGTGTGGAAGGTTCTCATGAAAGCCGTTCAAAAGGGCACACCACATTACATTTAAATAGGCAAGGAAAAAACAGTGATAGTGAGGGCGTGATACAAGGATATAGGATATGTGAATAGCCCAGGACAGGAGAAATACCACAATTGTTTAACAGACAATTGTTCAAAGGATCGGTTTTGCTTTTCTCTTTGACGAGTGGTAGTGTGGTGCTAAGAATGGCAAGACTCACTGACGATGCCGGCGAAACGTCTGGGAATGTACCACGTCCACTGTCCGACTCTGGAAAAGATCATGCACACAATGGACTCCGGACTAGGTGAGCTCATCTAAGTCTTCCTACCAATATGACCAAGTTGCGAAAACAAAGTCAAACCACTTCTATACAACAAAAGAAGACTGCGACCACACTAAAGGCCACAGCATCTTTGTCTTCATATCTTCATATCTTCGATTAAATATACTTACGCTTTCTATAAGCTTCTATCTTAGGCATTTGTTCAACCTCACAGAATTCTTCTCCACCTTCTAGCCTAAACCGTTTTTCATCACCTTTTTCTGCGCCTGCTGGCGCAATTCATACCGTAATAATAACATTAACATTTCTCTACCCTATGCAGCAATCCTCGTAATTTTTGTGCTATGATCTTTACATAACTTCTGAAGTTATTTTCCCATCCTGCAATTTCAGTCATTATTTTGTATATCTGGACTGTTGCTTTATTCTAACCCATTGGTGCTTATTACTTATTTCAGGATCCAAAGCGACAAGAGCAATTAGAACGCTGCTTAAAGATACGCGATGCAGCCTCCAGAATTCTCTCAATCGCCCAGAACCCCTTGCAACAGTTGGAGGCAGCTAAAACTCTTTTAGTCAGCAATGCTCAGTTGTTAACTTGCCTACGTGAACTCCAACGTGATAGAGTTATTGAGGTGACCAAAAGCTTCCATGAATGTCGCAACTCTTCGAATACACACTTCAACTTTCGTCAACCTGCCACAACTGACTGGGCGAACAACTTTGCACAGGACGGTAAAGCCAGACTTTGCCTATCTAGTACGTTTTGGCTGTCTCAGAATTTTGCACTTTATGCGGGTTATAATTCAGCAAAGCTTGTGATGTCAGCTTATTGATCCTGATAAGCATAATTTAGTCTTAAATTTGCCATATCAGGGAATTTGGAGTCCTTATTCTTCAGAGCCTTATTGCTAAAACAACACCTGTAAACTATATAACTTTGACGGATGCATAAGTCTAGTTATCTCTTCATTTAGTTGGACTGCTTTACAGAGTTAATGCAAAGCATATAGCTAAGATTGTTTTTGAAGACCTCTAGTCAAAGACTAGAATATCAAGCTAAATTACCTTGTTTGAACCTGATAAAACCGTCTTCCTCACAGCACCATAAAATTACGGCTATTCTGCCAATGCTAGCCCATATCATAATTGAAATGTTCGTGCGATTGCACTGGCAAATTTTATCGGTGATACTGCTTCTTATTTCTATTTAGACCATTTATGTCCTCAGTTGTAGCTCATTTAATAATGTTTCGATTGAATGCATTTTATTTATGATTGTCTTGACTGATGTCTTAAGAAAATAAGTACTTTATTAGCTATTATGACCTGATAAATTTATGCTCAGCCCTCTATTGGTTCGTACAATGGTATTACACGAAGGGAAACTCGATTATATAGACTCGAATTAACCTTATTCTTTGGCCTCGTCATCGCTATTTGGAAAGGAGAGTGCAACAACCTTTATTTTGCTTTTGATGTACTGCTAATAGTTCCCACATTTGGACTGTACAAGCGTCTACACGTGTCTTTTTGGATCTCTTAAGCTAGCTAACTGACTAACTGACTTTATTTGTCATGAGCGCTCCGATACAGCCAAGGACACTTGAGTCTGCTAGTTGGTAGACAAATGCTCAATGTTTTGAAAAGTGATTCCTGATTTTTGTACATTTTTTAAAGATATCCCTTCTAGAAGTTGTTTGACCTTGTTTTCGCAACTTGGTCACATTGGTAGGAAGACTTAGAGGAACGTACCTAGT